CGTCTTGATCCCCTGCGCGCCGCGCGCGGCTTCGAGGAGGGCGCGTGCGGGGGCATAGAGCCGGAGGGTGCGGTGCATGATGCCGAGCAGGAGCGCGCGGAGGGCGCGTTCGTCCGGCGTGTCGAGGTCGTGCGAGGTGTCGGGCTGTTGTAACGATCAGCTCTGCCTTTGCGACAAGAAAAGAAAAAAGCTCACAAGCACGACATGCTTCTCGTCGATCGCAGGCAAGAACGGGCTGTGTACCGCCAGCGCAACGGGCGGCGTCAGCGCCGCGAGCTCCGCGATGTGCGCTTCCGCGACGGCATCATCGATACGCTGGTGGTTGTTCCAAACTGTTTAAGCCGAAGTTTAGTGACAAGTTAACATGGGAAAAGATGATACATACATATCCCGAGCTCTGTACGCACGGACTTCAGTGAGTGGACAAGAGAAAGAAGGAGGAGGGAGAACGCACCATCCGCAGGGCTGATGGAAATTGCCTCGACGAACCGCGCCGGGTCCCCGCCCCGCCGCTTCTGCTTCTCCTTGTAGAAATCCACTGTAATGCATATTCGTCAGTAGCCGTTCGTTTCGAAGTATAACCGGCCCTCGAGCACGCGAATTGGGAGGCCTTCGTCGTGGTAGAGGAACGATCGTCGCGGAAGAGGACACAGAAGGAGGAGCGAAAACAAACAACTTACACTTCTTCCGAATCAACACCTCCGTCGGCAGATCCTTCCCTCCAACCTTCTTCCGCTGCAGCAGCTCCGGCAGCGCGTCGAGCAGCTCCTGCGCCTTGTCGCGGTTACCCAGCGCCACGTAACACCCCGCGGCGATAAAGTAGTAGGTTGCGTGGGACCTGGGGCGAATGGGAATCAGCGTCGTGGCAATCCCGAGAATGTATATCAAGGAACATGGGTGAATAGATAGACATACCACGAATTAAGTTCCGTCAGCTTCACGAACGCGTCCGCGGCCTCTTGATGCCGGCGCTGGGCCAGGAGTGTCCACGCCAGCTCGAACACCAGCTGTGTGATCGTTAGCACCGATTATCACGACCACCTCTCCCTCAACAAACGAGATAGCAAAAGGCCACGGGAATAGTAGAAGGCAGAGGGAGAGGGAGGTAGAGAGAAGGAAGGGAAGAAGAAAGGGAAGAAGAACGCACCAACGTATCCGCCTGCACGAACGTCTGCGGTGCCTCGAGCGCGCGCTGCAGCACCGCGATCGCGCCCTGCGGGTCGTTCGACATGCGCAGGATTTTAGCCTGTGAAGAGCATTAGTGAGCATTTCGGGTGTTGACGAGACAGAAGGATACGAAACGCACCCGATTCAAAATCCACAACGCCCCCGTCGGATAGCGCGCCTCGATCCTGGAAAATCGCGTCAGCATCTGAACACAGCGAACGAGAGGAAGTAAAAAAGAACCCACCCATCGACAATAGCCTTATACGTCCGCAGCGTGCGCGCCTCGTCCGCCTGGTAGCCCGCGAGGAGGAGCACGACGCCGTGGAAGGTCATTAGGACGAGTCTGTGAACAAGTGTAAGCGAGTCAGCGCCGGGGCGGAGAAACGAGGAGGGAGAATATTGAGGGCGGAAGATATTGAGGCGGAAGATATCAAGGACAGAGGATAATAACGAGGGAAAGAAAGGAAAATAGGAAAGAAGGGCGATGGGCTCGGTATGAGGGGGATACAAGTATGCATGGGTAAGCGTGAGGAAGGCAAGCAGAAGGGACGGAGGGTGAAGACAGAACAAGAGGCAGAAGGGGGCGTGTACGATGTGAACGCAATAAATGACGCAACGTCCGGACAAAATGCCGGAGGAAAAAAGGCGATGATGGAAGGAAAACAAAACAAAAACGCACCCAGCAAACACCCCATGCACGTCCCTCCCACCCGGCCCCCCGCCCTCGCCGAGCGTGTTGATCCCCGCACTGACCTGTGCCGCAAAAATTATCAGCGTAATTCTTCCCCCGAAATTTTGTTTGAGAAAAGCCAAAGAGGCATGGCGCTCCGCCGGACATTGAAACGTTCTCGGAAACAAGAGGAGGAAGAAATTGAAACAAGAAGGGCGAGAAAGGAATGAAGAAATAAAAACGCACAGCCAACGCCCTCAACGCCAACGCCCTATCGTGCTTGAATCCCAGCAGGCCCACGAGTGATCTGTAAATTTCGTCTTTGTGAGCGTCCATCCGTCGTCAGCGTTCGGCATTCAGCATTCATCAAGCATTTGATTGAGTCCGCTCTTCAGGGGTAATCGGTGATCGAGCGCTGGTGGAGCGGAGGACACCACGATCACCGCGACTCTCCGACTCCACACGATCGCCGTCGCCGACTCGCCCGACTGTCACTCCATGCGCATGTGCGAATGGGCATCGCACCACTCCGCCCCTAGGGGCGCACCACGCCCCGACTCCGCGCGCCTGACTCCCCCTTGCGTCGCCCTCCCTTCTATCCACCCGTCGCGCCCCGGAAAATCCGCCCGCCCCCCACTGACGAACACTGAAACGGCACTCCCCAACTCCCCAACTCCCGACTCCACCGCACCACGCTCCCTCATCCCCAGAGAAAGCCGACAATGCGACACAACAAGAAGAACCAGCAAAAATCCACATCGAGCACGCCGCCGGATGAAAAACGCAGAAAAGAAAAGAAATGGGAAGGGAAGACAAGGAAAAGCCACTCACTGCACCTTCTTCGGCAACAACGAGAACACGAGGTTGAACAGGCCGAATCCTGTGTCCCGCCAAAATAGACAAAAATCAGCATGTCGTTCGAGTCGAATGGAAGTAGGGAGGGGAGGAGGAGGGAGGAAGGGGGAAGGAAGGAGAACGCGAGTGAGCGCCTGCCGTCACTCTGACGAGCACCCCGCGGGGTAAGAATAATGAAGAAAAAAAAAGCGGAGTGAAAGCAGAGGAACGGGAACGCACCAAACGCAGTCCCCGCAACCACCATCTCCTCCACCGCGCCCTCCGCCGGCCTCTCCCTCTCCCTCTTCTCCCTCTCCTCCCTCTCCTCCTTTTCTGCCTTCTCCTTCTCTAGTCGTTCTTTTTCGGCTTGTTGGCGGGCCTACAGGACGAGCGTGAGTCGAGTTCGCTTCGGTAGATGCAAGGAGGGAGGGAGGGCAGAAGTGGAATCGACGCAGGAGGGGGGCAGAAGTGTCGACGCAAGGAGGGAGGGTAGGAGGGTAGGAGATTAGGAGATTAGGAGATTGGAGATTGGGAAGGGGGACGGGGGACGATGTGTGAAGCAGAATTCGAGGAGGAACCTTGGGCAAAGGAGGAAAGAAAGAACGAAAGAAAGAACGAAAGAAAGAAGGAAAGCAAAGGAAGGAAGGAAGGAAGCGTACCTCCTCCCCCGGATCCTTCTCCCTCTCCTTCCCCGCGTCCTTCTCCTTCAAACTAACCTTACTCCCCCCGCCCCAGCGCCCGAAAAGCGACTTTGTGAGCGACACGGAGGGCGCGATGCTCGGCGCGGGGCTGCCTTTCCCACTCCCACCTCCTCCTCCCTTGCTTCCCGGCGTAGAAGTACCGGACGCGGTGGTGGGGGTGTTGGGCACGGACGAGGACAGCGTGGAGAGGGAGGTGGTGGACGAAGAGGGGGCGAGCGAGGCGCTGGAGGATGCGTGGGTTAGGCCTCTCCCACTTCCTCCTGCGCTCCCAACCGCTAGTAGGCCCGACCCCGAGGTGGATACCGCCAACGACGCCGAGGAAAAGGGGGTAGACGCCGAGGAAAAGGGGGTAGAAGAAAGGGAGGAAGAGGCAGAGGAGGTATACGCATCCAACCCCGCGGGGAACACCGTCTTGTAGAGCTTCGTGAACTTGGAGTGCGCGGCGTTGAGCGCGTACATGCATTGGAAGTAGCCCATGTATGATTCGCTTTATCGACGCGTTAGTGTTAGTGTTTTCATCGTTCGTGGGCATGACAAGAAAGGACAGGGAAGGGAAGGGAATGAAGGGAAAGGGAGAAGGGCGGGAGAGAGGGAGAGAGGGAAAGGGAGGAAAGAGGAAAGACGCACGACAACGCATGCGTAAGCCCGACCAGCACCACCGCGTCCGCCTGCAAGATCTCGTACTCCAACCCCGGCGCGAACCGACCCCCGCCGTCCCCCCTTACGCGCACCTCTTTCACTGCGCCTCCTGCTAGAACTTGCATTAGCCTTCGCTTCGCCCAAAAGATGAGAGGAAGAGAGAAAGAAGACACACCCTTCGCACCCGCCTTCGCATCCGCCACAGCCTTCTTCGCGCCCGCCTCGCTCAGCTGCAGCAGCCTTGCCGCCTCGCCCATGAGCCCGCTCTCCATCCCCAGCGCGGCCTCGAGGAAGGCGCACACGCCGAGGCCGAGGAGGTGGAAGGGCGATTGCGGTTCATCCTCGGAGGAAAAGACGCGCCGCGCGGCAGCGATATCGTTCGCAAAAAGATGGTCGAAGCCGGCGTTGGCGGAGGCGAGCGCGCGCGCGGTGGGGTCTGTCGGGAGTGCTGGTGCCGGGGATGGGACAGGGGATGCGGACGGCGCAGGTGAGGGCGACGGCGAGGGCGAAGGGGATGCGGAAAGGGACGGCGACGACGGCGAGGGCGTCACGATAGACGGCGTGCTCGCTGTCTCCGACGGCGCCGACGTTGTCGTTGCCGTTGTCGACCCCTCGGATTCAGGCACCCCTTCTATCACCGTGCTATCCCGCACCTCTTCCCTCTTCCCCTGCTCTCCCTCCACTGCGTCGACTTGTTCTGCTGGCGGTGGCGAGTTGTCCATGGCGATGGCGACGAGGAGACCGGCAGACAGTCCGAGCGTCGTCACTGGGCAGCGTCAGCAAAGGATCCATCTCCTTAAAGTCAAGCCACATCAATCACCCCATCACCCCATCAAGTTATGACGCGGACACGTGCGTTGTTGCGCTGCATTTGCCGATTCGACTTTGACGATGCTCCGAGACAGAGGCACTGCTCACGGCGAAGGGATAAGAGACCTAATGTATGAATCACCTCTGCAACGGAGAAAAAAAGCACGAATGGATTCGTATGCTATTGGTGGGAGTCGAACCCACGTCGCCCTTGGAAACCCCACCCTGTGATGTAAGCGCGAAGGGAGCTTTGCCGGTAAGCCACAGCAGCAGCAAAACTTGAGCAAAACACTATGCCAAGACAAATACACCTCTCTTGACGTACCCAGTGTTCCGTTGCCTTCTCCATGTGTACATACAAGTCTACTACTCCGCAACCAGAAGAAGACGGAAAAACCTGATGGAAAAATCAACCATGTTACCGCACCTGCCTTGTCGCTTGCGCATGGAAAAAAAGGAATGTTTCTTGATGGATGCTACCAGTGGGACTGGAACCCACCTCGCTCTAATAGCTGAATCCTGTAGAGGAGGAGCATTCCATTGAGCTACAGTAGCTACGACATATCACCTAAGGAATGGCCAAGGAATGGCACTCATTCAAGAAAACCCAATGAGATAGGGGCTTCGCCACTAAGTTACAGTAGCAGCAGAATGCTGAATATTGCCGACAGTGTCAGAATACACTGTCCTTGAAATGCCCAGTACTATGTTAGGCTTTTGAGGAGGAAAAACTGGATGAAAAACGGGTCTGACTGAGTAAGCACCACATCACTTGGCAGGTGACAGAAAGCCGGGCTTTTCATGGATGCCACTGATGAGAATCGAACCCACGTCACCCTTCGAAGCCATCGTGAAAGTTGACACTGGACAGTGCGAGGGAGCTTTGCCATTAAGCGAGAGTATGTAGCATCTCAGCCTCAAGTGCACCTATTGGTCCTTACCTGACTAGAACCAGAGCTTCAGAAATGCACTAAGGTTCCAGGTCTTCAAACCGAATAACCCTGTCGTCTCCAGTCAGCCCGGCCATCGAGCTGCGCGGGCGCCGACCAAGCAAATCATTGAGCTGTGTCCTAAATGATTTACAGCTAAGGAGCCAAACTCCACACTCTGGACAGGTACCAGTACATGCCCGGACTCCAGAATATACAGAGCACAATCTCAGGATACACTGTTTTTGATCATTGTGTTTTCAAATTTCAGAGTACAAGTTCAACTACCAGGACAAACTCCAACCTACCGAGAACACAACCAAAAGCAAGACGTAAATTCAAATGCAACTGTAACCGAGCAAATAAAGTCTAGACTCCAGAGTGAAAAATGCCGTGGAAAGGGAAATGCTACCGGCGGGATTTGAACCCACGTTGTCCTCATACATGGTTACTTGACACAAGAGGAGGATGCTCTACCCACAGCGCCGGCTCCTCAATTTAATGGGCATTTAAGTTAGTTCCGTAACCTAGGGTTTAGTAATACACATAAATTTAGCCTAAACTAGATATTATACATATCGTTTAAACCCTATCTAAATCTAATCTCAAATTCAAGATATAAAAATGCATTTAGGTACCGACTAAACTAGAGGTATTGTGACATGTTTGAACACCAACTAAGTGCATTATTAAAGATAGCAAATAGAGAGTCTTTAAATGAGTTCCAAAACTAGAGGTTTAAGGCCTCTGGATATCCCTCTTTAAACCCTGCATTTCGGATTACGTTTAAAGCCAGATTAAACGGGAAGTTTAAGTTCTCGCTTAAATGTGTCCGAAACCTATTGCTAAACCTGTTGTTTAAAGGACCATTAAACTCATCTGCAGATGGTCTGCGGATCATCTGCGGATCATCTGCAGATGATCGTCATCGCTCGTTTTCACGCAAATTTTGGTGATGACGATCATCTGCAGATGATCCGCAGATGATCCGCAGACCATCTGCAGATGAGTTTAATGGTCCTTTAAACCTCAAGTTTAGCAATAGGTTTCAGACACATTTAAGCAAGAACTTAAACTTCTCGTTTAATCTGGCTTTAAACATAATCCGAAATGCAGGGTTTAAAGAGGGATATCCAGAGGCCTTAAACCTCTAGTTTTGGAACTCATTTAAAGACTCTCTATTTGCTATCTTTAATAATGCACTTAATTGGTGTTCAAACATGTCACAATACCTCTAGTTTAGTTGGTACCTAAATGCATTTTTATATCTTGAATTTGAGATTAGATTTAGATAGGGTTTAAACGATATGTATAATATCTAGTTTAGGCTAAACTTATGTGTATTACTAAACCCTAAGTTACGGAACTAACTTAAATGCCCATTAAATTGAGGAGCCGGCGCTGTGACCATTGAGCTGCAGCAGCTTAGAAGTAGTTAAGTGAGACATATATCCCATATGGTCCCTAACAAGTGCCTAACAATATTTAGCCCTGACATTTTACGAGGACAGAGGTCGAAAAGCTTAGAGTGCTGCCAGCCAACATCTCTGTAACTAAATGACGTGGGATCAGGCCTCTTCTGTTGTCGATTAGTTGGATCTACGGGCGGCTGAACCTTTAGCTGTCTGCTAATTTCTTTGCCATCGCTTTCCCACAGCTTGGCAGCGACTTTCCTTTTGTATGTGCCGAGGGTGGAACACATGAGACGCAACTTGGGCTGAAGGTTGAGAGAAGCCGAGAGCTGTGGGGAGAAGAATTGAGTTTGTAGATTTTGCAGGTACAGTCTTTGACGGTGATGCGAAACATGAGGAAGCGAAATGCCCGCCCGTTTGGCCACCGGGAGGCCGATTTGTGTACCAGTTCTTTTGTGAGGGGAAGGGACCGATATGGCGTCCCTGCATGCAAAAATGATTTTGAAAAAAGCTGCTTTAGCGCCGGCGCGGGGTGGTTTTGTTTGGACCATCATTTCACTTCACTCCGGAGCGCATATGACTTGTTGAGTGTTGTGACGGGGTTTTCAGGGTCAAGGAGAACGAATATATACACCCCGAGACGCCATGTTGCATGCATCGCCGAGCGCGTTGAGTTGTTTCGTCCTGTATAAAGGCTGTATTGCATCCCCGTGTTCAGCCACATCTGGACCAGACCGATAAATTGTTTCTTCTCAACAAAAACAAGACGGAATCACTCAATCTTTGCACTACAATGTAGGTTGGAAGGCAACGCACCGGTCTACAAAAGGAAATGATGTCATGGGAGTCGTATTTAGCTCGCAATCAGACGCAGAGTCTGAGCATTTCGCTTCACAGTTAAAGACTGTATCTTCCTGATACTGGGAGGCTAACAGTACAGTACAGCCCCAGGCACATAATATATTGGATCACCCGATTCTTAATGACGAAACACGCAGTATAATATTATTAATAGGACCTTCTTGCACTAGTTGACTTTCCATAAGCTTAGAAAATTCCTGAGCTTGGTTGAAGGCGCCAGTGATGGGATTGTCTAACAATGTGCTGGTTTTCCATGACATACATTTCTTATCAAGGCCGTGTCTCTCCTTGAACAAGAGTCAGATCAAGGTCCGCTAGCCGGTGCGAGCGTGCCCAATTTTCCTGGAAGCGAACGGGCAACGGGACGGCCTGGGAAGAGGGTAGACAGATGGGGTCCCCCCGCCAACCAGTTTATTCATCTACAAAAATCTGGAGGGGTGTAGCGACCCCTCCTTCAGATTTTTCTAGATTCACATTAAATCACGTCTGCTTTTGGGCTCCATACTGATGGGGTCCCCACAGCTGTCGTCGGGAAGCTTGAAAGTATTCCTCAGGAATTTTTGTACGGTTGTGGAAGGTCAACCACTTCGCTTGTAGTTGTAGATCCATGAAAAATTCCTCTGTGACGTCGTCCGACTCTGTAGGAGCACAGAAGGTCGGGAATAGCTTCTTATGTATTATTTTTCAGGGGTTCACAGCGGAGCTTTAGTACCTGCCCGCATATTCAGAGGCAACAGTCTCTGGAGCTGGCTTCGACCGAGCAGAGGTTGAACTTGAACAATACGATTATCGATAAATTAACGCTTCATCAAGATATCTGATATCATGCAACGAGATGGCGGTGCGGATCACGTTGGCGCGCAAATATTGTGCACTGCCACTAGGTCCCCTTCCTTCCACGCGTTCACCACCCTGCCTGGATGTCCAGCTCAAGACCTGCTAGCCGCCTTGCTCGAGCATTCTTACCCATCAGGATCCGCGCACCCATGCTGAATCTGCCTCCAGAACTTCTGGATGTGATCTTCTCGTGTCTGGAAAAAGGAGATCTTTGGACCGTAATCCACGTTTCTCAGCTCCTCCGGCAAGTGGGGCTTCTCCCGTTTCTCTCAATCTACGGCGTTTCAAGGTCGTGCGTCGTTTCCGGCGCAGTTCTCATTCCCCAGGGAGCTCACTTTCTGATACCGATGATTCACCGTGTCCAACCGATATGTCGACTTACCATCCTCGGGGGACCACGACTGTGCAGCCCTGATCTGCTCAGCACAGTACCCATTATTCCCGATGTCACTATCCGATTCAGTCGTTTCATGATGGCAGCGCAGACTGTCAGACCTGGGATCATCCAGACTGAAATACCCGGGATCCTAGTGACTTTATCACGGAATGGCATGGACCCTGTGGTCATCGTCGGAAACGATGCGGTGCGTGTTTCGCACCGTCGACGTACCTTCGCCGTCGAATGGTTTCCTATGCCATACCTCCGGCCACCGACATTTTCATCCCTCTCAAATGTACCTGGCTGTATCGCTGTGTTTTTACTGGTTGTGCTGGTATTCGTTTTCAACGGATTCATTAATTTCTGTCTCTCAATTGCTTGGCTCTATCGCTACACCCTGCAGCCATGGGACCCCGCTACACGCATCACAGCAGACCTGGGCGTGATACCGCAGTACGGGTGCACAATACGCATCCAGACAATCACTGTCCCCGGTGCCGTCCAATTCACCCTCGCTACATTTCCTCCCCACCACCAACTCACCCTTGACCGCTTGCCCAACCTCTCCTCCGCGCAGTATGTTGCCTTGCTCGCCTCGCTGGACCTGAAGGATGATCTACATGTGCTGACCGTTCGCCCTCGTTGGCGACATTTCCCGGCGGTGGTGGATTTCATTCGGCGGCACCCGCTCCTGCACACGCTCACCGTTTTTTCCGAATCATTCGACCCCGCGTCCCTGGCAGCGAATCACATGCCATACACGATTCATGGCAACATCACAACCCTCACCGCGCCAGCGGCGTACATCCCGTACATTCTTCCCGCAGACCGCAGCATCACAGATATGACCATT